AACTTCAGCAGTTGTGGCACAATAGGGTTTCACCGAGTTCCTGTGAAAGCAGGGGTGTGCTCTCTAACCCTCATGGGGGCGAAGACCCCTCCCTGGAGAAAAAGTGTGAAGAGGAAGTAGGAGAGACGGACTGCTCCCTCCAGAGGCTCTTGCCCTCTGCTGCCCTGTTGGCCCAGTATAACAAGGTCAATGAAGCCATTCAGTGTGACATGAGCTGGTTGGAGCATGCGAACCTGGGGAGATCCCCTGCGTCATCACCAAGAGGGAGAAAGGGAACAGGGGAAGAGTCAGTGCTATGTGGGGACCTGGGTAGAAAGGAGGTAGGAGAGCAGGGCAGCCGGCCCTCCACTGCCCAGTTGGCACAGTCGAACAAAACCCATGAAGCTGTCCATTGCGATATAGCTTGGTTGGGAGATGTAGAGATGAACTCCCCTGAGCAAATGCCCTTGGTAAGTGAGGAGTCACCGAACTGCACAGCAACCAGACCGAGGAAGATGTCGGGGAGCAGGAAGTTAAAGGAGGCCACGGTTGCATCCTTAAAAGGAAACAACGACGTTGCTACTTTGACCAAAGAAATTACTTCTTTGAACATTTCAGATGAGTATGAATGGGAAGACGAGATAGAATGGGTCTTTGAAGAAGAAGTTAGTGGTCTGAGTTCTAATCGGGAGGAATCCTGGGGAAGCTATTTCTGTTCTCTACTTTGCTGGCCCTGCAGCAATCAGATCAACAAGAGGAATGATGAGTGTGAGGGCCTCACTAGGAGCCTGCTATCCTAACCAGAAAAGAGGACTGTGAAATATATGACAAGTCTCTACCAGAACATAGCATCACCAATCAGCTGCCTCCTGCACCCCTCTCCCCACTGGGGATGTGCCTGCAACCAAGGTACATGCCCTTGACCGGAATTGAACCTGGGACCCTTGAGTCCACAGGCTGAATCTCTATCCACTGAGCCAAACCAGGTAGGGTGATAATTCTAAACTCCATTTTAAAATCGAGTTTTCACTTAAGCTTTAGGTGCTCATATTTGTATTCTTTGCAAAGAGGATTCCAAGTTAGAGTTGAGACAGAGTCAGCAGATGATGACTGGGAGGTAATGGTAATGGAGAGCTGGGTTGAATAGTTAGGGTAGGGGGTTGTACAATAGATTTAACTCTGCTGTTGGGCAAATGAAGATTGTCACCATTCTAACTGGGTAACAAGCATATCTAAAGACCTTAGGTTATGCTGAAACCGGTTTGGCTCAGTGGTAAGAATGTCGGTCTGCAGCTGAAATGTCCCAGGTTCGATTCCGGTCAAGGGCATGTACATTGGTTGCGGGCACATACCCAGTAGGGGGTGTGCAAGAGGCAGCTGGTCGATGTTTCTCTCTCATCGACGTTTCTAACTCTGTAAAAAAAAAAAAAAAAAAAAAAATCAATAAAATATATTTTTTAAAAATAAAGACCTTAGGTTACAAAATGGGTTGGAGCCAAAGATTTTCTCTTCTGCGGGATGTTATTTTTATGGTTTTTCACATTTAATTGCTGATGTTGCTAATGATAGTAAGTTGTGGTTTATGTGGGATTATTATTTTGTTAGAGTGAAAAGGAGGGGGAAAGATAGGGAGGGAGAAACACTGATTGGTTGACTCCCAACTGGCTGGGAATTAAGCCTACAACCGAGGCCTATGACCTTGGGGTACTGGAAGTTTAGTATCTTAAGGACAGGTTTTCCTTTACACTGAGCCTTGATATTGAGTATCCCTGCCATACCCCCCAATACCTAGTCCTGGGATGTCAGGGTTCAGTTGCTTTATAGCCATGTAAAGGTCATCCTGCCTGCAGTGGCATAAAGGAGAGACTGGTAACTAAGCTCAGGCAAAATGTCAAGAGCCTTCATTTTATCCTAAAGGTAGAAAGGAAAAATGGGTATTGATATTCCCCCCCCCTCTCTCTCAAGTAATCTCAATTTTTCGATTGATTTTTAGAGAGAATGGAAGGGAGAGAGACAGAGACACATGGATTGGTTGCCTCCGCACACACCCCAGCCAGGGCTGATCTGAAACCGAGGTACATGCCCTTGACTGGAATTGAATCTTGGACCCTTCAGTATATAGACCAACACTTTCCACTGGCTAGGGAGTGTATTCCATTTTTAAGAAGCAATTACTGAGTTCCAACTCAAAGAAGGGCTAAATGTATCATGATGGGCAAGAACGTGATGTCTTGATTTCAACTAATAAAGCTATTACAGAAACAAAAGTCTTTGGAGTGAATTTTATGTTATAAAAGTTAATTGAATTGCATGTTTGAGATTCTTGAGCATATTCTTTCTCTCCCAAAAAGGCCACATCACTGATAACCTATAGATTTGGGTCATTTGTGTGTGCTAATAATTTCCGGGTGCCCTTAGATAAGGAATAGACTATCTTGCTCATTTTAATAGACGGAGACCAAGCACATAGCAGGTTGTGGATAACAGCACTATCCAAGGGTGGCTGCTAGTGCCATGGACTTCCATCCAGTGCCTGCTTCTAGGAAGGAAATTTTAGAAGTCTTAAAGGAACAGTCTTTATACAAATATGTAGACAGCCACTTGGTCAATTTGTAGGGACAACCTTCCAATAGATGGTGCAGGTTAAGTTTGCTAGATGCCAAAAAGGTTAATTAGGGCTCATTTGGAAGAGCAGGAAGTCCATTGCACACGTGGGGTGTGATGGGAGAGCCATCAGTGTCTGCAGGGGGGTATGTGCATGTGAGTACCCAGTGTTGTCTAAGCTCACGGCCCACAGGCCTAGGGCTCAGTCCTACAGGACTGCCTCCACCCTTCAGATGCCGCTCACCATACCCAGGTTATCACCCGTGCTTCTGACGGACTGGCTGTCACTTGGAGGTCCCAGTGTCCCTTGCCTCGGGTTTGGTTTCGCTGAAGCAGATCCTGGTACGCGTGAAAGGGATGCATAGGACAAGGTAGGAGGAAAGGGTGTGGAGTTTCCATGCCCCCCTCTAGGCATGTAAGTCTTCCAGCACTTCTGTGTGTTTACCTACCCCAAAGCTTTCTTTGTCTTTGTTAATCCTCACCTGGGGTTGTTTTTTCTTTGATTTTTAGGGAAAGTGGAGGAGAGGGAAAGGCAGAAACTGATGAAAGGGAAACACATCTATTGGTTGCCTCTTGCCACAGCCCAGACCAGGGCCCCTGTCAGGGAGGAGCCGGCAAGGGTCTGTGCCTTTGACCAGAATCAGACCCTGGACACTATGGTCTGCAGGCCAAAGCTCTACTGAGCAAAACCGGCTAAGGCAATAGAACTTTCATTGACTTTTTTTTTTTTTTTTTTTTTTTTTTTTTAGAAAGACTAAAGAGGGAAGGAAGAAGGGAAGAAGATAGGGAGAAAGAGAAAGAGACATTGACTTGTTCCACTTATTTATGTATTCATTGGTTGATTCTTGTATGTGCTCTGATTGGGGATTGAACCAGCAACCTTGATATATTGGGAAGACACTCTAACCAACTGAGCTTTCAGGCCAGGGTGAAACCTATATAATTTTATTAAACAACTATAGGCCTGATGCATGAAATTCATGCAAGAGTAGGCCTTCCTTCCCCCGGCTACCAGCACTGGCTTCCCTCCCTCCAGCCGCCAGCAGGTATCTGGGCTTCCCTGTGGCTGCTGGTAGGCACCTGGGCCCTGGTTTCCCTTGCAACCCTGGCTTCATCCGGAAGGATACCCTGAAGGACATCTGATCTAATTAGCATACTATGTTTTCATTATTGATGTCATTCCAATCCTATCTAATAAAAGTAATATGCAAATTGTCACCCCAACACACAAGATGGCTGCCCCCATGTGGGTACAAGATGGCCACCACAAGATGGCCTGCAAGGGAGGGCAGTTGGGGGTGACAAGGCCAGCACAGGAGAAAAGTTGGGAGCAACCGGGTCTGAAGGGAAGAGCAGTTGGGGGTGACTAGGCCTGTAGAAGAGGGAAGTTGGGGGTCACCAGGCCTGCAGGGAAGGGAAGTTGGGGGCACCAGGGCCTACAGGGAAGGGAAGTTGGGAGGGACCCAGGCCTGCAGGGGAGAGCAGTTGAGGGGGACCAGGCCAGCAAGGGAGGGAAGTTGGGGGCGACCGGGCCTGCAGGAAAGGGCAGCTGGGAGGGACTCAGGCCTGCAGGGGAGAGCAGTTGGGGGAACTAGGCCTGCAGGGGAGGCTGTCAGTGGTGACCAGACCTGCAGGAGAGGGCAGTTTGGGAGGACCCAGGTCCCTCAACTCCTAGGGAAAGAGACCAGAAATGAATAGAAAACTTCTGGAACCCTGATAATAGCAACAGAACCTACTGGATAGGGAGAGACACAACTTGTGAGCAAGATCTAGCTCCACAGTTCAGCAAAGAACAAGACATGCTCTGCCTTAGCTGCAGGCACCACCCCGACAGGCGGAGCTGCTTCTGCTGAGGCCCAGGTGGGCTGTGCTTAACCAGGAAGAGGAAGGAAGAGAGGGGTATTTTGGGGTGTGGCTAGCTGACTCAGTACAGTAATTCCCTTATATTCTTTAACAATTTTCTGAGTCACTTACCCTGGGAAATTCTTAGGGTTTGGGCAGAAAGATCCAATCAAGTTAAACATGATGTAGCCACACCAGAGTTTTCATTGTAGTTATAGCAACCCCTTCTTCCCAATCAACAAATCGTCTCAGGCGGTATACACATACACCTTTTTGGTCAGCAATGCCAAATGCACTTAACTGTAAAATAATTAGTTTCATACTCTCAAGATAAAGCAAAGTGCAGATGAATGTGTAGAGCATTTGTGTAAAAAATAGCCCTTTATTTGCTTGTGATTTATAAAATTAATCTGGAAGAATTAACAAGAAACTGGTAACATTGGTAGCCATTGGGGAAGGGAACTGGGGAAGGTGGGGGAGAAAGGAAGAAGGAAGAGTTTTCATAATTAAATGAAAACTATATGCCATTTAAATTTGGAACACAAGCGTGTATTATTCAGAAATAAAAAAAATAATTTGAAAAATAAATAATGAGCTTTTATTATCTTCAACAACAGACCAGAGTGGAGCCTGAAGCGGGAACTCAGCAGCCTCGTGTGGAGGTGCAGCCCCCGGAGGAGTGTCCTCAGAGGCTGTCGTCCTGACACCCCGGCTTTCTGGGCATCGCGGGCCACAGTGCCCGGCAGGAGGGGGACTGGCAGGGCCTGTCCTGCAAAGTCAGCACCGTCCAGCCTGGGCACCTGGAAGAGTCTCTCTCGGGGGTCACAGCTTCCTGGGAAGGTGGGTGAGAGGTCACTTGTGTGTGTGACACCAGATGTGGTCCTGGGCGCCCCCTCTCCGCCTCCAGCCCTCTGTTCTCGGCCACAGCGTGTGATTCTGAGCCGAGAACACGGACAGGCCGGGCGGCTGTCAGTCCGAGTCCGAGCCCTCACTTGACTTGGAAGACTTATGCTTCCGTTTCTTCTTCCTTTTCTTCTCTTTCTTCTTCTTCTTATGCTTTTCTTTCTTCTTCCTCTTCCTGTGCCTCTCCCTACATTCCGAGGAGCTGGAGCTGCTCCCATCGTCATCTGAGGTGGAATCCTCCAGCAGCTGCTTTAACTGCTGTATCCTAACCAGAGAAGACCGGTCAAAGAACCAGAAACCATAACAACGTCCAAGAATTGTTTTAAATATAAAATTAGATGTGAGGATAAAAAAGTGACCAATAATCACCTCCTTCTGCACAGTATTTTTAGTTTTTCATGTTTCCCATTCCTGTCCACATCCACGCCTATTCTACAGGGCTGTGTAAAAGTGTTCTGTATCCTTTCCATTATCCTAAATATTTCTGCATGTTTCATTTTTCTTCTTTTTTAAAATATATTTTTGTTGATGTCAGAGAGGAAGGGAAAGGGGAGATAGAAAGTTGAATAATGAGGGAGAATCATTGAACAGTTGCCTCCTGCATACCCGCTACTGGGGATCGAGCCAGCATTCCGGGCATGTGCCCTTGACCAGGACCCTTCAGTCTGCAGGCTGACACTCTATCCAGTAAGCCAAACCAGCTAAGGCAATTTCTGCATGTTTCTAGTGTCCCTTTTATTGTAACTTCTAACAGATATAGCCTTTCCTAAATCATGCCCCCACTGCTCAAGTTCATATGAGGTAATTTATCACCTCAACAATTATAACTGAAGACCACAGATTTGAAAAAGTAAAAACCTCCTATTTTTTCATTCTATCTTTACGTTTATCAATAGCTCAGACCCCTGAAGAACAATCATATGAAAGAGAACCAATCAGCCGAAACCAGTTTGGCTCAGTGGATAGAGTGTCAGCCTGCGGACTGAAAGGTCCCACCGTCGATTCCTGGCAAGGGCATGCACCTTGGTTACGGGCACATCTCCAGTATGGGGTGTGCAAGAGGCAGCTGATCGATGATTCTCTCTCATTGATGTTTCTAACTCTCTATCCCTCTCTTTTCCTCTCTGTAAAAAGTCAATAAAATATATTAAAAAAAAGAAAAAGAAAAAAAGAAAACAGTAGAATGAGGGCTGCCAATATCAACCATTCATGGTTTCAGCAGACTGGGTCATGCCCACTGCATTACGCTAACCCAATGGAGCAGGCTACTTGCTCGTTGCTGGAATTCAGGCCTTTTCAGTGACTGCTCCTGACCTACAAGCACTGCGCAATTAAAGCACCACCTTTGTTACACTACTCCTCTAACAGGAATAGTTGTTTCCAACTCAACACAATGTAAAACTTTAAGAGGGTCTTGTTATCATCAGGACAACCTCACCTTATATCCTTCTCATGTCTTTTATTCTCTCGGATGATGTCATACATGGGATCTTCATGTGCCTTGAGGGTTAGAGAAAGTTAAGGTTGGGTTAAACTTCATAGATTGTTAGTTAATTTAAAATTAAATCGTTTTCACTGAAATTAGTTTGTTCCCCTCCCCAGTTTGGTGTAATTTTATATTCTACAGGTTTTAATCCTTCCTGAGAGTCATCATATCTTTAAACTTGTGAAGGCTATAAAAGGTTTTCCAATTATACAAATACAGGATTATAATTTTAGTATCTTTTGTAAGGAAATAAACCATAGAAATATTGAAAAATACTATTCAAGATTAGAAATATTAAAGAAATTATCTTTTGATTAAATTATATTAAGCAAAACAAATGAGTTAGAAAATGATACGTAGCCGAAACCGGTTTGGCTCAGTGGTAGAGCTTCGTGTCGGTCTGCGGACTGAAGGGTCCCAGGTTCGATTACGGTCAGGGGCATGTACATTGGTTTCGGGCATATCTCCGGTGGGGGGTGTGCAGGAGGCAGCTGGTCGATGTTACTCTCTCATCGATGTTTCTACCTCTCTCTCTCTCTCCCTTCCTCTCTGTAAAAAATCAATAAAATATATTTTAAAAAAGAAAGAAAAAGAAAATGATACGTAAGAATGATTTATTTATTAGGTACACAAACCATGTGCCAAAAAAGAGGTCTGGAGGGATACTCTTCAGACTACTTACTGTAAATCCCTTTTCAATTCTGGAAAACCTTATTATGTTTCCATTTTGTTAAAGGCCAATGTATTCCTGTAATATCTGTATAATCTAAATCACTTAAAGTACTTTAAAATTTGAATACACAGAGTGAATTTTATAGTATGTGAGTTATCTTTAATTTTTTTTTATTTAAATTTTACATATTAAACTAAAAAACATAGTTAAGCCTGGCTGGTGTGACTCAGTGGTTGTGTGTTGACCTGTGAACAAGGAGGTCACGATTCTATTCTTTGTCTGGGCGTAAGACTGGGTTGCAGGCTCAATCCCTGGGGTATGCAGGAGGCAGCTGATCATTGATTCTCTCTCATCATTGATGTTTCTCTCTCTCCTTCTGCCTCTCTGAAATCAATAAAAATATATCTTAAAAAACAGAGTTAAAAATATCTATTATTCACTGCTAATATTTTAGTGTGGTTCTCCCAGTCATTATTCATAATTTACAAAAAATTATAATCATGTTATATAAAACGCTCTATTCTCTTTTTCACTTAAGTTTTCATGAACATCTTCCTATGAGATACTTTCTTCTAAAACATAATTCTTAAAAGGTATATGATTTTTATGTTATAGTAATTTATGTTGTTGGCATATTGGCCATTGAAGTTGTTGCCTATTTTTATTTAGTTTCTATTTTTTAACCATATAAATATTCTGAAAGTTATTTTTCTACATTCAGAAAAATTTGTGTATATTGATGTTTTGTTAAATCCTTAGGATCAATTCTTAGAATTTAGGTTTCTGCATTTGAAAAAATATTGAATATCGTATGTTTAAATTAAAAAAAAAAATTTTATTTATATTTTACAGAGAGGAAGGGAAAGATATAGAGAGCTAGAAACGTCGATGAGAGAGTAACATCGACCAGCTGCCTCTTGCACACCCCCTACAGGAGATGTGCCCGCAACCAATGTACATGCCCTTGACTGGAATCGAACCCGGGACCCTTCAGTCCGCAGACCGACACTCTACCACTGAGCCAAACCGGTTTCGGCGTATGTTTAAATTTTTTAGATTTATCACCAAATTATCTGTGAGAGAGGTATAAAAATTGATATTCCAGTTGATATTCCAGCTATCAATGATTATTAAAATGAAAGAACAATATTTTCAATGTCTTAAAATCCCTGAAGAATGTGGACCCCAGTTTGATATATGCTGGTAATCCCAATATACCTGATATATTGAAACAGTTACTGAAGGTGAATTACTATCCCTGGGAGGGGACTGTTAGAATATAGTGAGGAAATGACAGACCTATTTTATTGACATGTAACGAGGAAATATCATTTATGCTCACTTCTAGTTTATAACAGGAAGATATCTAGTATCTCGACAAGGATTAGGAAATCAGAACCCTGATTTTTGGTTAGGAAATTTAATTTTTTTCCCCAAAGTAAAAAGAGGATAAGAATGTCTGCTTCAGAAAAAAAAGAATCAGTGTTCCCAGGGCATAAGTAAATAACACTTTAGTAAGAAGAGAGTTTCTTGTTAATGTAACTAATCTCGCACACAAACACGATTTAACAGAGAAGTAGTTAACGCCAGGTCCTTCGGCCAGAAGGCTTCTGGGAATACATTTCACGTGAGCCTCCAGTTCACCGAGGAAGGCCTGCTTCACGGACACGCACCGTCTGTGGCGAACGTAAACTGACACCCTGGGGTTCTACTTACTACTCTGAACTGCTCTAACTTTTGGTTGCCTTTGATAAAGAAAGGGCATTCTTTGTCGCCCGTTCGGTGACCGTACCGTTTACAGCGCCAACCTGAAAACAGAGAAAGGGGGATATGTTTCTGTAAGATAATGTGTTTTACTTCACCAAGATAAAGTATCAGTACGTCATATGAAAGTTATTCTTCATTAGATTCCAATTTTAAAAGCAAATAAAAGAGGTGTGACCCACAAGGACAGGGAGCATGTGAAAGGAGACCGCAGTAAAAGATGAAGGAAGTTATACTGCAGGGAAGAGTGTACGTGGACAGCAGGCCCTGGAGAACTGGATTCTGAGCCAGCAGAACAGAAACGACTCGCTTTCCATTTGGAGCCCAGAGGCACTGGGACTGGCCGCACCCTCTGGCCATGGAGGGGGAGGGACAGCGGGGCGGGGGGGGGGGGGAGGGCTGGCTGAAAGGCCATTGCATCTCCTGGCCCCAGCGAGGCAGGCTCATCCTCTGCAGCCGGCGGGCGGAGGGGCTCTGGCTGAGGCCGCAGGCCCACAAGAAGGCCAGGTGCCACACCGAGCACAGGAAGGACTAGATGGCTGAAGACCGAGGCTCCGGCCTCACCGCCTCGTCCCTCACAGCAGTCCCCAGCACCCAGCACGTGGCCTTGGCCTTCAGCAGGAAACTCTCCTCTGAAAGACTAACCCCCTGATGAGAAAGACTTGGAGATACTGACCTCCGCAGCTGTTTTCAGCAATAAAATAAACAGTGTGTTTTCTGTTAAGCAGCCCAGGCACTCCACCCGACAGTGAGATCGTTATCAGTCTCTACTCAAAAGTGAACTCGGCCTGGCCAGTGTGGCTCAGAGGTTGAGCATCGATCTATGAACCAGGAGGTCACCGTTCGATGCCTGGGTTGCGTGGGATTGATCCCTGGTGGGGGCAGGGGGGCTGCAGGAGGCAGTCAGTTGACGTTTCTCTCTCTCCAAAATCAATAAAAGCCATATATATATATATATATATATATTTTTTTTTTTTTTTTAAAGGCTTCAGGACCCTTTCTTCAAATGCCGCCTTGCGCTGGATGAAGGTGCTGCTGGGGTGTGCACCCCACCCTCTGTGCCTGTAGCTCCTCAGGCCACCTGGAGCAGCCTTACCACCGACGGACGGAGGGGGCTAACAGATCCAAGACCCAGAGGAACCTGCCCCCGGCGTTTCCACCACGGAAGGTGCTTCCTGTTGCAGGAATACACCTGCGCGTGTCCTCCTGAGGCACACTTCCCGTGGGAGGCCACCGCACGGGGAGTCAGAGCCTGGAGCGCCTCTCTGCTCCGCCTCGTACCGGGACCACTTACTGACCGTGTGAGCCCCTCTACAGGGCAGAGATCACGCCGGGACTCTGCCAGCGCTGAGGAGGGCACGTTAGATGGAAGGAGAACGCCTGTGAGCCGCGGTGTGCACCCTGGTGCACTCGGAGCACCGGACGCGCTGGCACTCACACTGCATCACTTTGACCTCCTTGCCCAGGGGCATCCAGAGCCCTCTGGTTGGCGCGTGAGCCAGGAATTCCCTGGCGTGCTCGTTGCCTGGCACATCTGGTATACAGTCCTCCGGCTTCGTCTCATCTTCCTGAAAAGGGAAACAGCGGGTAAACAATATGGCCAGAGAGCACCGAGCCCGCCCCGCCTGCCTCAGAACGCAGCACGGCCTGGCTTTCTCAGTGGGGAGCTCCCGAGGTCATCAGGAGTCACCTCCCAAGGTCAGAGACACAACGACCTGACAGGAAAGGTGGAGATGACTGTGCCGAAGAACCACATCGCAGAAACCAGGTGGCTGTTCTTGGAGAAATGGTACTAGAGTTGTTTATGAGGAAATGATTTATGAGCTCCAAATTCTGATGCTAAGATTACAACAAGTTTTCTGATAACTTAAAAGTCTTAGGGAATGAGGCAAAGTGTAGGATTAGACAAGTAAGGTTTCCTGGAATAATAACAAAAGCATGTTAAGTTAAAATGGATTATTATATCTTGAAGGCCACAGGGTGTATTTATGGGGGTATAGCTCAGTGGTAGAGCATTTGACTGCACAGGGTGTATTTATGAAATGTACTTATACCACCAAATACCTTTAAGGTTCTCTCTCTCTCTCCGGTTAATCCTCACCTGAAGTTATTTTTCCAGTGATATTTACTTATTTATAATATTTTTTTGACTTCAGAGAGGAAGGAAGAGGGAGAGAGAGAGATAGAAACATCAGTGATGAGAGAGCATCATTGATTGGCTGCCTCCTGCGCCCCACACTGGGGAAGCCCACACCCTGGGCATGTGCCCTGACCAGGAATGGATGGTGACCTGACCTCCTGGTTCACAGGTGATGCTCAACCACGGAGCTGCGCCAACAGGGAGCCATGGATTTTTAGAGAGAGTTGAAGGGAGGGGGAGAGACAGAGAGAGGAACATTGATGTGAGAGAGAAACATCCATTGGTTGCCTCACACACACCCAACTGGAGTTGGGGATTGAGCCTGTATAAGGCTTTTTTTTCTTTAACCTTTGGATTTTTCCCCCCTCAGGTTTCCATGTATATTAAATTTAAAATGAAAATGTTTAAAAAAAATCTTTTTTAATATTGAAAGGTAGCAAACAGAAAAGGTTATTTTGGCCTTTAACCACTCCTCTAAGTCTTGCTTCCTCAGAGACTCGGAGAAGGGGTGTGATGGCTGGGGGACAGGTGTGGGCCCGCCTGGTCTCTTAGGGCACAGACACCGCTGAGAAACGGCCAGGAAGCACAGCTGTGACACAGCCCGTGTCTGCCTGGCACCTGCGGGAAGGAAGGTGACCCCAGAGGAGGCTGAGCCCTGAGGGACTCCTGTCTGAGAGAAGAGCCGAGAGGACACTGACCTTGATGAGCCCCGGAGGAGGTTTCTCATAACTGGAAAGAGAAAGAAAAGACCGTCACCAACCACGTTAACCGGAACACAGCGAGCCAAAAGCAGCTGTGGGCCAAACTAAAAGGGACATCTATAATAATAAAGACATAACATGCTAATTAGACCGACTTCCTTCCTTCCAGACAAAGTCACAGCAGGCAGGGGCCGTGGGGGTGGGTGGGGAGGGCAGGCAAAGCTCTTGCACAAATTTTGTGCATCAGGCCTCTAGTTTTTAATAAAAACCTACCGTGTTTCCCCGAAAATAAGACATCCTCCAAAAATAAGACCTACTTACAGGCTTCCTTCTGAAATATAAGGCATCCCCCGAAAACAAGGCCCCCCTAGGCTAAACATGAGAGATTTGGTCCACTGATTCTGAAAGAAATGGAGTCACAAGAAATTCACCAGGAAATTCAGGAATTGGATTGTTATGATGATGTTCCAGAAGATGATGACATGATTGTCACTGAATAAATGAGTAAATTCTTGATACTGTAGGATTCACAGTTTGTCTGGTTTGTGTTGACAACTACCGTACTACCGTACCGTATACAGGTAATACATTTCCTTTATTTTCACTTAACAATAAATGTGTACCGTATTCTTCTTCATGGAAAAATAAGACATCCCCTGAAAATAAGACCTAGCGCATCTTTGGGAGCAAAAATTAATATAAGACATTGTCTTATTTTTGGGGAAACAGGGTAGAAGTACGTTACGTCTAAAGCAGTTAATAGAACATGCCCAGCGCTCGAGATCACATATACACACACTGATGTTCTCCCACATCCTGTGGAGAGGCAGAACCAAATTCACCGAAACTAACTCACCTGCCGTCTTAGCACAATGACTTTCTTTTTGGAAGAAGGGAAAGTGAGAGACTACAGGGAAAACGTGTGGTAAGAAGACCCTGGAGTTAATTACGGTTCCAAACTGTCATCATCTGTCAGGTTGTTTATTCTAGCATAACTCTCCCTCAGTGTTGATAGGGTAGTTCCTAAGTCCCTTGCAATATGATGGAACTGTGTATTTTGAAACCTATTATTATTAGCAATGTCCTTAAAAAGTACATTTCTCACCTGTTTCCAAAAATTTAAAGGCCCATGGTTGGTGTTTTTTTCTTAGGGCTAAACAATTTCTTAGTTTATGTGGTAATTAGAAGTTGTATTTCTCGATTATTGAGGGAATATTTAACTATTAAAAACAACAGAGCTGGCTTTGGCTGGGTGGCTCAGTTGGTTGGAGCATTGTCCTGGACACCAAAAGGTCTCGGGTTCGATTCCCAGGGCGAGTACGGGAGGCAACCAATCTACGTTTCTCTCTCAGTCTCTAAAATCAATAAACATATCCTTGGTTGAGGGCAAAAAAAAAAAAAAGATCTGGGAATGGGAATAGTAATGTTTACTATGTATTGATAGTTGCCTTCTGCGATATCACAGTGAAAACGTCTGCATTATTTTTGTAGCTGATCCTTAGAAAATAAAACATGTCCCCGGAGGCCCGTTATTCTGTACCATCTGTGATGCCTTACGATTCTCCAATTCAGGTGGTAATAAGTTGCTCTGAGCTGCAGGAAGGCTATATTTAGATAAGAGAGAAAGAATGAGATCCTCCCAAGTGGGAAGGGGGGTAGAAATCTCCTCTTTTGCCAAGTGCTTAAAAACACTCCTGGGGTTTCTGAGCGCCGAGGTGGGGTTTCTTTGGAAGAGTCTCCAGGTGGGCATGCTCCATCCGGATGGCTGTGCAGCGGTCGAGCCCCATGGCAGCCCGCCCTGGCGCTCAGCACTGAGCCTTCTCTCCCCTCAGCACCCGGAAGGCTGAACACCCAGGGCAGGTGCCAGGGCAGGTGCCAGCGGGCCCTGCGCGCTGCTCGGTCCCCAAACCCGAGCGCACCCCGCCCCCGCCCTCCCTTCCCGCACCCCCGGAGCCGGGCGGGGCGCGCTCCCTCCGGCCCAGCGGCCCGGGCGCCGGCACCGCCCCCCCCCCCAGCCCCCGCCCGGGACGGGAACGGGCGGCAGCCGGGCCTCCGAGCGCCCGCCCCGGCCCCGGCGCCCTCCCGCGCCCGGCGGCGGCGGACTCACAAGGACTCCAGGTGCTGGAGCTGCTGCCGCTGCTGCGCGTCGTGGCGCCGCCGCCTCTGCTCCCGGCGGCGCCGCAGCTCCTGCTCCGGCGGCTCCCGCGCCCGCCGCGCGCCCCCGGCCCCCGGCTCGCCGCGCCCCGGCCGGGACCCCGACATCCGGGACCCCGACATCGCGGCCCGCGCGGCTCCGGCGGCGGCGAAGGCGGCACTTCCTCCGCGCCCGCCCGCCCGCCGGGCCGCAGCGCCCCCTCCCGCCGCCGCCGGCCGGTAGCCTCCCCCGCAGTGCGGCCTGGAGGCCTGAAGTTCGAGCTCCGAGCGCCCGGCCCCAACGCCTGCCGGGCCGGTGGGTGCCCGAGGGGGTAGCGCCCCCTGGCGGAGGCCGCGGGGAGGCCTGGGCGCCCCAGCTGCCGCCTGAAGCCTTACTGTGCGCTTCCCACCCGCGTCCTACCTGCACTCCGCGACCTGGGCAGGTGCTTTGAGTCTCCCAGTGGCTACACAGGAGGCGCTCCGCACAAGCGATAGGAGCCATCAGTTTTGGAGAAAGGAAGGTTCTCCGTAGGAATTCCCTAGTATGCGATCCCTGGTTGAAACCTAGTGTTTATTGTACTTAGACAAGGCTTGGGCACTGGAAATGAAAAGCTAATGTACATTGAATGCTTTTCATGTCCTGCTCATGGAGTTAAGCCCTTAATAAGAGTTGTCTTTATTTTTGAAAACTTAAGTACTGTTTACTGCTCTTACATATTATCTCTTTTTAATGTAAAATTTTTTTTTGAATTTGTTGGTGTAACATTGGTCAATCATCCTGATTTTATAGTTGAGAAGAAGCCCCACTTAATAGTCCTATACATATTTTTGTAAAAATTCCTTCCAGTGTTATTCCATACTTTTTGTTTTCCTTTTTAAAAATATATATATTTTGATTTCAGAGAAGAAGGGAGAGGGAGAGAGAGAGAGAAAATCCATGATGAGAGAGAATCATTGATCGGTGGCCCTTTGCATGCACCACATTGGGGATTGAGCCCTCAACCTGGGCATGTGCCCCGACCAGGAATCGAACCGTGACCTCACACTCAATCACTGAGCCACTGAGCCATACTGGCTGGGCCATATTTTTTTCTTTATAAGAATTATATCAGCTGAAACCGGTTTGGCTCAGTGGTAGACTGTCGGTCTGCGGACTGAAAGGTCCTGGGTTCGATTCCGGTCAAGGGCATGTACCTTGGTTGTGGGCACATCCCCAGTAGGGGGTGTGCAAGAGGCAGCTGGTCGATGTTTCTCTCTCATCGACGTTTCTAGCTCTCTCTCTCTTCCTGTCTGTAAAATATCAATAAAATATATTTTAAAAAAGAATTATATTAAGTGGTTTTAAAGACTTTTTCTCACTGATATTATGAACATTATTCAACTAGAAATAATTCAGTCATTTGAGTTTTAATTGGGGATTAGTACTTTGCCTAAGCTTTTATTATTGGCAGTCCAAGTAATTTACATTTTATTTATTATATTCAATGTTGTGATGGTTTAATAATATCAAAGTATTAGAAATTAATGCTTTCCATGAATTCCTTGTATCTTTAAGAAAAGCCATAATTTAGCCGAAACTGGTTTGGCTCAGTGGATAGAGCGTCGGCCTGTGGACTGAAAGGTCCCGGGTTCGATTCCAGTCAAGGGCATGTACCTTAGTTGTGGGCACATCCCCAGTAGGGGGTGTGCAAGAGGCAGCTGATCGATGATTCTCTCTCATTGACGTTTCTAACTCTATCCCTCTCTCTTCCTCTCTGTAAAAAATCAATAAAATATATCTTAAAAAAAAAAGAAAAGCCATGATTTAGAATTTCATTTCCTACTGGTAATGTGAATTATTGGTGAAAGACAGGAACTTTAAAGTGTATAAGTTAAATCTAGTGAAAAAAGCAAGGACTAAAGTTACAAAGTTGGTATCACAGGCTATATACCTACACTGACTTTGAAAGTAAAGAAGTTTGGGCCCTAAGAAAGAAGACACCTACCAAGAAAAGGCTCTTGGTGGCTAACTGGGATGAAGAAGAAGAAGAAGAAGGAGAAGGAGAAGGAGAAGGAGAAGGAGAAGGAGAAGGAGAAGGAGAAGGAGAAGGAGAAGGAGAAGGAGAAGGAGAAGGAGAAGGAGAAGGAGAAGGAGAAGGAGAAGGAGAAGGAGAAGGAGAAGGAGAAGGAGAAGGAGAAGGAGAAGGAGAGAAGAAGAAGAAGAAGAAGAAGAAGAAGAAGAAGAAGGAGAAGAAGAAGAAGAAGAAGAGAAGAAGAAGAAGAAGAAAAAGAAGAGAAAAAGAAGAAGAAAAAGAAGAAGAAAAGAAGAAGAAGGAGGAGAAGAAGAAAGAATAGAAGAAAAAAAAGCCTAGCAGCTGATTCTAACAGGACCTCTCAGGCCAGCCAGCTTCAGGGAGAAGCCTCTGCTGAACCTGCCCCCAGCACGGACCTGTCTCCTGCACTTGAGCCAGCCTTTCCAAAGGAGTTCCTGGATTCCTACTTCAACCAATAAGACTGAGAATTTCCCTGTCCAATCAGAGCTGTATTTTGGACCAATCCAAACAATACTTTTGGGACAAATCAAACTGTGAATTCTCGTTTGCGTGAGGATGGACCAATCAGGGACCAGGGGTGGGATTTATAAGTCATCTCCCCTCTGAATTGTTCCACTGAAGGCTGCGTTCCCTTAGCTGGAGCTGCCGACATCTCACTGGGCATCGCCCAGGGGTGCCTCTGCGCCCCAGCGGTGGGGCTTCCGAGTTCAGTTGCAGCACCACTGAGCTGTCCCACCGCCGGGCTGTGTCACAACCGAACTGTTTGCTCCGAGTTTCCGGCGTCATCACACACCAATGTGGGGATCCCTGTTGCTGTTGAATTGGCACCAACAACAATCTGGGGAGAGCCCATAAAAAGTTGGAAAAATTGGCATTAACCGTTATATTCAGTTATAAAGTTGAACATTAGCACACCTATATACCAGGAAACCCACCCCAAAGTATATTCTAAAGAGAATATTCAGCACATGTAACGAGGAGACATGTACAAATAACTTTTTCCAGGAGGAAAAAAATAAAAATAAAACACCCATCAACCTTGCCCTGCAGCCTCAAAGGTCTTGATCTTCCACCTTCGGGGTCTTCTTCACGGTGAGTATGTGCTGAGCCAGCTCCCTTCCCGCTCTCCCCTCTTTCCATCCCTTCTCCCTCTCCCCGCTCCCCGCCGCCCAAGCAGCCCAGGCCATGGACATAGCCTCGCGGGCTGGGAAAGATGAAGTCGCTCCAGAGGCTTTGCTATTCTGAACCCCAATCTCTCCCATAAAAGTCCCACCCACGAGCGCCGAGGATCGGGAGCTGAGCGCGGAGCCTGGGTTCCTGACAGCCCCGCCTACCCGCCTAGTAGAAATCTGACATTTCCCATTTCCGTCCTCCTCGGCCTCCGCCCTTCTGGACTACAACCCCCAGAAGGCCTCGGGGCGCCGCCCTCGGACCTGCGCAGTAGCGTTCGTTGTAAAGCGCTATGACAACTGGGCGAAGATGGCTTGGAGTTAGGCGCGGGTGGGGAGGCGTCCCTTCCGTCGCCACCGCGGTCCGCTCTCCGCTCCATCTCGCTCACCGTTCTCCGCTCACCGCTCGCCGCCTTCTCCATCATCCCCTCCTCTCTGCGGTCCGCCGGCCGTTGTCCTTGCCTGCCCGGTGTCTTCCCAGGGACTGATGCGGCTTCCCCTGCTCCTGTCTGGGGGTGACGGAGGAGGGATGCGGAGGGGCTCCCTGGGGTGACTCCCAGCTCGGTGGGACGGGCGGTGCCGCCTGGCCAGGCTGCCCCCTTGTCCCCGGGACGTGGGGCGCGTCGGAGCAGGAGAAGGAGAGGGAGCGGTGAAGGGAGGGCTGCTCTCTCTGCACCCCTCGCTCCTGCTCTCGCTCCAGCCCCGGGACCCCGGCAGGCAGGCGTTCCGAAAGGAAAAGCTGCGGAGAGAGTTCCACGCCAGGTGGGCAGGACCCACCGGATCCGGCACCGGGTAAGCAGGTGTGTCTGGTACATCGCGCGCGTGGATTCCCGTTCTGAGTTTTACTCGGCGGGCAGGATTGATCCTCTGATGCCATGTATTAGTTTTTTTGGGGGTAATAGGTTTCTTAGGAAGGATGTGTGTGTGTGTGTTGAAAATAACAAAACACAACTAGGCGCACCATGTGAGTGAGATCCTGTGGACACTTTTCAGAGAGGGTGTTAAGAATTTGTGAAGATTCCATGCAGGAATGTTAGGTGGTGCAGGAACATCCTCCTCCTGTGGCACGTCAACAGGTCCTGTGAGCAAATGGTCAGTGCAGTTCTCAGCTTATGATGAAGTGGGATGCATACACTAATACCCCCTAATTCCTTCTTGCAATAGGATTATTGCTTAGCCTTCTCCCTGCATTGCAAACCGCAGCAGTTTCGATGAAATGAGCTGATTTTATTGGCATCTCCTGTCCCCAACCATGTCCTGGGGTTGACTCAGATTTCCTGGAAAATGAAGTGTTTTTTTTTCTTCTTTTTTTCCCTAGCTCAATTTCCCTTAAAAAAATGAAACCATATCACACATATGCACAAAGTAAAACTGGTCTTAACTAAAACCTGTCAGAGAGGGAGAGATTTTCTAACTTATTAGAAACTAGAGGCCCGATGCATGGAATTCATGCAAGAGTAGGCCTTCCTTCCCCCAGCTTCCAGCACCTGCTTTCCTCCATCACCTGGGACCCAGGCTTCCTTCTGGCAGCCCAGCGGGCCCCAGAACCCAGGCTTCCCTCACAGCCCTGACAGTGGCCTGGAAGGTCGTCTGGTCTAATTATTGTTACTATAGATAATGTAAAGAATAATTGGTGATTTATATATATATATATATATATATATATATATATATATATAGTGTGTGTGTGTGTGTGTGTGTGTGTGTATACACTAAATAATCATTTAGGGAATTTAACTTTTAAAAATTTGCAAATAATTTATAAGCTATTTATGAGAGTTTAAGGGATTTTTCATTTCCTGTAATTGTTGTCCTTAAATTACTACACTTATGTTGATGGTACAAATTATTGATAGAAGGAAAAAAAAGCCAATATCAATAGTATATAGTAATTTGAAAATTTTTATACCTTTTTTTTTAAAAAAAATGTATATTTTATTAATTTTTCACAAAGAGGAAGAGAGAGGGATAGAGAGTTAGAAACATCGATGGGAGAGAAGCATTGACCAGCTGGCTCTTGCACACCCCCTACCGGGGATGTGCCCGCAACTAATGTACACGCCCTTGACTGGAATCAAACCTGGGACCTTTCATTTCGCAGACCGACGCTCTACCACTGAGCCAAACCGGCTTCGGCAAAATTTTTATACCTTTCGATGTGTGTAAGCAAGCCTTATCCCATAGAATTCAGACTTTCAAGTATTTCTCAAAAAGAATTGAAACATAGAAGTTATAAGACACCCCTGCAGATTAACAACATTTCTATAAACGACTACTATTGGTCTTTTGAATGTGCCATTTGTACTTCAGTCCAGAGGGTCAGATCGGCGTTTGTAATTTTGTCTTGCTCAGAAGACACTCCACCTCCAGCACCACCATTACTTGTTCTGGGTAACTACTGACATATCTGACATTTATTGAGTGTGTCCTATGGATTAAGTATTGGGCTCAGCAGTTTCATGTGTTAAGCCATTGTATGCTCCCACCCCCTAGACCAGTTGGGAGACTGGAGGGCGAGGGACTTGTCTAAGGTCACATTGCTGGAGTGTGGGGTCAGAGAGGGAACCCCAGACTCCCTCTCCTGTGCTCTTTGCCTTGTGTGTTTTATTGAAAGGGCCCTTGTCACATTATCTTCTAAAGCAAAACTTCCCCTCACCTCTGTGTGCAGTAGTCATCTTTTTTGGACTGCAAGACCTGATTCCTGTTTTGCAGAATCTGTGGAGGCAGTAGCATGACCTGGAGAAAGCAAGGCTTCAAATATGAACAACAACAGTGTCAGGGTCTTAGCCTCATAATTGCCGAATCTGCCTTCCTGACCACATGTGCCTTCCATAGGATTCTTGGGGTTACCATCACCACAGCCATTTTTGTACCGACCCTTCCTTAGTGAAGGGTTAGGCCAATGAGGTGTGAAAAACATATCTTAAAGGACTGCACAAATTGAGTAAACTTGGTTTGGGAGATGATATATATTTAAGTAGGTATTAAAAACAAAAAAAGTGTCAAGTGGTAAGTATGGAAGAGAATTTCTGGAGCTTCAGTGATAGAGATTATCTTCTATTTATTCATGGTGTGAAGTGGATTTTTACTGTAAACACATGTTTTCTTTTTAGAGTGAACGAAAATGTCTTTATTTAAAGCCCGAGATTGGTGGTCTACTGTTCTGGGAGAAAAGGAAGAATTTGATCAAGGCTGTCTGTGTTTGGCTGACGTTGATAATAGTGGAAATGGACAAGGTAAGTAACTTATGACCCTGCATCTTGGAGCCAATCGGTACAGAGATGAAATAAAAACAACTTCCTCTTAAAAAAAAAAAAAAAAAAAAATATATATATATATATATAATTTTATTTAAAAAATATATTTTATTGATTTTTTTACAGAGAGGAAGGGAGAGGGATAGTGAGCTAGAAACATCGATAAGAGAATCATCAACCAGCTGCCTCCTGTACACCCGCTACCAGAGATGGGCCCGCAACCAATGTACATGCCCTTGACCGGAATCGAACCTGGGACCTTTCAGTCTGCAGGCTGACGCTCTATCCACTGAGCCAAGCTGGTTTTCGCAACTTCCTCTTAAAATATGTACTTTAATGGGATTTCCATGAACTGTCATAATTATGCTCTAATTTTGAAGGTAGTTTTCCTTATTAGTGATATTTAGGTAGCAGGATGATAAATGTAATTCTTTTTTCTGTTCAGTTGTTTGTGTTTTCTTGGTTATGTTGATTCTGTCATATTATTTGCTGGAACTCTGAAAAATATTCTAAGACGTCATTTAAATTGCTTCCATTTGTTGTAGAATTAAAAAAATACTTAGAATTTTGAGAAATCCTTTTAAAGAAATTATTTGAAAGGAAATAAAATAAAAATTGTTATTTTTATTACTTATTTTTTTATCCTCAAGTATTGGTTGATCTGCATTGGGCTCAGCACATTCAAGCCTCGGCATAATCTTTGTAGTTTTAGCTTTTTTGCAGAAAGCTGGCCTCGTCTGCCCACTACAACCACTCTGCTTCCTGTCAGAATGCCACTGTCCCTGCCCGTACTGAGAATCCTTGCCCTTCTTGTCCTGTGTTACTTCGTGGGGTTGATGCTTGCCACATTCTTATAGAAAGTCCAGCGTGTTTGCCCTGGCCAGAGTGGCTCAGTTGGTTCAGTGTCATCCAACAAACGGAAAGGTTGCCGGTTGATTGCAGTCAGGGCACATGACCGGGTTGCAGGCTCCATCCCCCGTCAGGGGCGTGCGGGAGGTAGGCAATTGATCAAAGTTTTTCTCTCGCCCTCTCCCTTACTCTCTCTCTAAAAATCAATGAAATATCTTAAAAAAAGGGCAAGTCCAGCAGGCTTAAGGAATGTTTATCATGTTTTCTAGAGCACTGTTGCCATGGAAAGCAAATTACCTTCTTTTTAAATTGAATCTGAAAGCCAATCATACAAGAATGGAGAAATTATGCAAGCTCGATGTGTTGGTAGAAAATAATTGTTAAGTCATTGCCTTCATTTTCATAATCCTAGAAAAACATTCTATTTTATTCTTACATTAGTTGTGCCTCTTTGCATCTTCATATTTTAAAAATGGTCTTTAAAACATTTTAGTTCTATATCATTGCTATTTAAAATTTGTATTTGGTTTTAATGATTCATAGTCATGAGCCTTTTTTGTGTGTGTGTGTGTGTGCCAGCCCAGCCCGTTTTGTGCCTCTTCACCTCTACCAGTCTCAGTGTGCTTTCTTCTTTACTTCTCTAGTTGTAGCACTTCCACTCAGCCAGCTTCCCAGCGGTTCTGGATGATGGTTGCTCTGTATTTTAGTTGTAATTTTGATGTGGTCGTGGGGGGCGGCGAGTACAGGCATTTATCTATGGTGCCATCTTCAAATCTCTCAGTCACTGACCTCTTAAAAAGAATGA